ATTACTTAAGTGGAGAACAAATAACTTTGTAATAATTTATTATGCGATTTTATAATTTTTTGTTTATTTGATAAGATTGAATAAACAATTGGGACTATTTTAATAGTTTTACAACTTATGAGATTTTTATGTTTATGAGAAAATATACAACACAAAAATTTCATATCGCATGTCCAAACAAACCTTCAATTTCATCTCATGCTTGCATATCATGATACCATATCGCATGACCAAACGGGCCCTTAAGTAAATTTTTATAATATATGTTACTTCTCTTATCCCAATGTTTATGGCACAAATAAAATTTAAAGAGTCAATCAAATGTTGTTAATTATTAAATATTAACTACTAAAATTGTATTAGTTTACAATTGTCTTCATTATCTCATTACTGCAAAAATATTATATACATTAAAGTGGACGATTTTTTAATAATAATTGTGATTGTTTTTATTAACAAAAGCTTATTGTGATTTTTTTAAAAAATTAACATAAGCTAAATTGTGAATATAGAATTTTTATAAAGAGAGAGAGAAAATATGTCTATGAATAAAGGATAAGCACATGGGATCACAATTGTGGAAAAGCTAAAGGACTTGGCAGGTGTACTCTCTGACATCAATTGGTGCCTTTTTAAATAGAATCATCCTTTGGTTTTGCAATATTTACGAAATTATCTGCAGGCAATCATGTAATAAAAGATCAAATCCGGGGCAAAATCAAAACATAAAAAAGCAATGCATGGCCTGTTATCATCTCACGGTTGCAATAACTTGTAAACTTTTAGACATTAATCTAACTTTTAATGATTCTTTAGACCATAATCTAAAAGGTCCATTAATTAAAAAAATAAAATAAAAATGGGTTGGATTTTCAATTGTTGGTCTATAGAACTCACTCCACATCCAACTTACTACTTAAAAAATGAAAATGTCTACGAACTTTATCGCAAATCTTTCTCTATTTCGCTTGTAGTTAACATAAATTGTTGTTAAATAAATTTTACTTTTTGCTATAAAATTTGTCTGTCGTTACATTCAGTTTTTTTTTTTTTTTAGTGTTAAGATCCATTGCAACTTGATCAACATTATTTAGATGTTTCACGAAATTACCTCCCATAGAACAAATGAATAACCAAAAGTATTATTTGGGGCCTTAAGTAGTTACTTCATGTGAACAAAGAGGTTTAATTAATTTACCACAATTAAAATTGTGTAATTAATTAGCATGCTATGTATCCTCAACTAATGTTATTAAGGTTATAGTGAATAAAAGAACTTTGAAATTTTTAGTTGAAAAGCTTCTTTTGCATTCATTTTTTCTTCTTCTCATTTGAAAATTCCTTAACTTAAACTTTCTTTTTTCTTCATTTCCTTGCGTTTCTAATTTGTTTACATTCTCACAATAACAATAACAATAACAAAAACGTATTCAGTATAATATCATAAGTAGGGTATGGAGAGGATGGTGCGTATGTAACCTTGCTTCTATCTTGTGAAAGCAATTGTAATTTGTAGAGAGGTTGTTTCTGATATCTGATTCAAGTAAAATATATTGAAAACACGTATGAAAAAGAATTATATTAAAAAAGAAATCATACTATTTTTTTATTTTATTTTATTTTGCATTCTCATTGAAAAGCTAAATTAAAAAGAGAAATAATATTTGTGCTTTAAGTTTAGAACTTTGAAAAGTCTAGAATTTTTCTCTTTATTTTAGTTTGTCATTAGCAAGAAGGCACCGAAAGATGAAAAAAATACAGGCTTTTTTCTGCATATTATGTACCACTAAATAGAATATTTGGTTAACAAGCCAACCCTTACTTATTTTTTTCCTATATTTTTTTAATTTGATTTTTCATCCGGTGTTTGTAGTCCGTATTAGAATCCTGATTAAATCTAAATCACGCATTGCATTGCATGGCTCATTAGGGGGTGGTGCTCCCAATAGGATTTTCTCCATACCCAAGATTCGAACCCGAAACCTCTTATTAAAGATGGAGAGGTCCCTCCACTGTACCACAATTCAGGTTGGTTTTTTCTATATTCTTCATGCCCAAGCATTTCATTCCCAACTTTTAAAAAATAAAATCTGAATATATTATATTTAATTTCATAATATTAATATTGTACTCCCTCCGTTCAAAATTAGTTGTCCATTATACTATTTAGGATGTCCAACAATATTGTTCACTTTATGAAATTAATGGATAATTTTACGCTTAGTTTTAATTTACCCTTATCATTAATTATAGTCATTTTCTTATTACATTTTTCAAGACATTGTATATTCAAAGGATGATATAGTAAAATTATCCTTATGTTTATAATTTTTTAAGAAATGTGCAAAGTTAATAATGGACGAGTATTATTGGATAGTAGCGATAGTAAAATTATAAAGATCGAACCTGATAAAATATTAAATTAAAATCATAAATTTCATTCTTTATCACGTCACGTTACCAATCTTAGTGGACCTTTGTTCTAAGTATCCACAAATGTTTCTACATTTTTCAAAGTAATTAATCATTTAATTGAGTGCGTAATAGGTAAAAAAATTGCCCTTTCTTGATTTATCAAATAAATAAATTGCTTTTTAAATGTCCATTTTAGTCATGAATATTTATTTTTTCGGAATACATTGTTTAGAGATAGAATTATTATTATTTTCCAAAATTCAAAAAACTTTTATTTTTTTTTCACAATTTTCAATTCAAATTACTCACGAAAAATCAAAAAGTAAATTCAATTGTGCGAATCACAACTCCCTTTTCAACTTAAAAACAAATACAATACTACTTTTTGTTCTTCAAATTTTGTTATTTTTATATTCAAACACTCATTTAATCTCTCACCCAATATTCAATATCCAATTTGAAGCTCAAATTAATTAATTTGCGAACCTATAAAAAAAAATTCTTGTCATAATTTTTTCCATTTGAAAGTTCAAATCCGCAGCAAATTCTAGAAGTCATATTCTCGAATAACTTATCTCGATACTATTATTTATCCTCTGACAGAGATAACTTATTTCAATACTAATTATTAATCTTAATAAAATTTATTTTAGAATTATTAATCGAATAAAAATATAATAGTACTCATTTTTCTCCCAAAATTAAATATTGATCCATGATTGTCTAACGTACCAAACGATTGGAATTGTATAATCTTTATCTATGAGCAGATGATTAAATAAGTGGCAAGCTAGCTTATTTAGATTAAGTGCTAATTATATTCTCAAAATACCTTTTTCTAGGACCTTTTTTTAGCATTACAATTTTGGTGTTTCATCAACTACTTTTAACATGTCCAATTGTGTATTTAAAGCAAGCAAAGTAATAAATTCCATTTCATTACTTCATTATAAATAAATACCACTTCCATATTTTCTATTTTAAAAAAAACAATTTTAGCTAATTATCAAAAATAATATCAGAATGATATAAATGGCTTTAATAAAACATAACATAAATATTTACATGCTACGTGTACTTTTAAACTTGATGATGATGTATTGTAGCATGAGAGACAAATTCGTAAAATCTGTTGGATTAACCAAAGTGCAAACAATATGTTTTATGACTTGACTTGTGACTATATATAGCCAAAAATAAATACTAACAGAATTGAAATGAATAACACAAAGATAGTAAACAATTTATTCGTTTGGCTAATTGTGTGTTTAGAACACAAATCCACATTAATTGAGACTTGACTTATGTGATGAAATGAGAATAGAAGTTAAGAAAAATTGATTATCAGTTACCAATTACCATAAACATATAAGTACCAATTTAATATGAGAATTAAGGCTAATAACAATTGCAAGAATCTATTTCAATAATTCATTTTACACGATAAAATTCAGTCTTTAATTGCTTGTTTAAATTGTCTTTTGATTTTTGTTCAATTTCGACTTATCTAATTGCTACTCTTTACTCTTTAGAAATATTTATGACAAAAAATACTTTTGAAAATCATATTACTGAACATTTAATATTATCGATACGTATCTAAATAACAAACAAAAGACTACAAGTAAAAGGAAGTATATGAGCATGTTAAGTTAATTCAAGTAAATGGTAAAGGTATATATTCCTTGAATGTATTCATACTATTCAAGTATCAAATGTTAAAAGTAACAAGTAGAAATATATAATATATAAAGATGATATTTTTAAACTAAATTATTAATAAAGAATAAATTCGATGAATTTTTCATATTTTAAATATATTTTGACTCATGTGGTAACTAATAAAGTAAGAGACATGCATCATCAGGTGGATCCACAGAGAACTTCTTATCTCATTCATGTGAAAATATTATGTCTTCTTATTCTATTTTTTAATCAAATTTGTGAATATAAATTTTCCATAAAATTAATTCATTTTCATTTTTAAATACACACACTTAATTACAAAAATACCTATAACTCTTAGGGACTGTAGTTTAAATTATATTTTTAATAAATCAAATATATATAACTTAAATATTTACGTACAAGTACCATTTAAGTGATTGATAGAGCGAAAATTGTTTAACACTTCAATTGTCCATAAAAGTTGAGCTCCAATTTCCCATCAATAAGATCAATGACGTGTGGTAAATATTTTTTTTATTTGTAATCAAAGGTTTCAAACTTGAACCTTGAATATATAATTATTTTTGTTAAGGACTGGATCATCGATCCTACTCTTAACAAAATATAAAACCAAATTTAACTGAACTTATATTGAACATCGAGCAAAAACCAAACACAAAGTTTTAAAACTTCACGCGATTGCTTGCTTGCTTAGCTTTGTGGTACTAAATATTATCCTATAAATAAAGGACATCCATTCGTCATAACTTTTATTAACCACACACACATATCCCAAAGTCCCACAACCAAGAAAAATACACCTCTATTACATTAATACACCCACCCCCCACCCCCTTTTAATATAACTTTTTGTCATAACTTGTCACAAAAAACCAAACAAAAAAACACAACTCATTATGAAGAAGAGTACTAGTACTAGCAACAATATTCTTTTCTTCATACATCCTCACATCTTTCTACTACTACTACTCATATGTCAATGGGCGAGTTTCGCTTCCGCCGTAGCTGCTGCTCTCAGCAGCCGGAGCGGAAGCTGGAACTTACTACTATCAAACATTGGAATTTCCGCCATGCACATGCAACTTCTCAACAACGATAGGGTCGTCATGTTTGATCGTACTGACTTTGGCATGTCCAACATTTCGTTGCCTGATGGAAAATGTCGGTATGATCAAAATGACACTACGTTGAAAGTAGACTGCACTGCTCACTCTATAGAATACGACATTGCTAGCAACTCGATACGTCCCCTCATGGTCCAAACCGATGTTTGGTGCTCCTCGGGTTCCGTGTTCCCCGACGGTTCGTTAGTTCAAACCGGTGGATTCAACGATGGTGAGAAAGTTGTACGAGTTTTTAAGCCTTGTAGTAATGTAACTACTAATGGTACGTGTGATTGGGAAGAAATTCAAGGTGGATTAATTCAACGACGATGGTATTCGACCAATCATATTTTGCCAGATGGCAGACAAATTATTATTGGTGGTCGTAGGGCTTTTAATTACGAGTTTTATCCCAAGAGTGCATCGGCAAATAATTCATATAGTTTGCCTTTTCTTGTGAAGACAAATGATCCAAATAAAATTGAGAATAATTTATACCCTTTTGTTTTCCTTAATGTGGATGGGAATTTATTCATTTTCGCGAATAATCGAGCTATATTGTTTGATTATACGAAAAATGTAGTATTGAAAAATTATCCGGAAATACCAAGTGGTGACCCGAGAAATTATCCGAGTACGGGTTCGGCCGTTCTTCTACCATTGAAGAATTTACAAGCACAAGAAATTCAAGCTGAAGTGTTGGTATGTGGTGGAGCCCCGAAAGGTTCGTATACTAGTGCTCTAAATGGTAATTTTTCGGGTGCGTTGAGTACCTGCGGGCGAATCACAATAACCGACCCGAACCCACAATGGACTATGGAGACCATGCCATTGGCTAGGACAATGGGTGATATGGTAATTTTACCCAATGGAAATGTCTTGATCATTAATGGAGCCACCATGGGTACAGCTGGATGGGAATGTGGTCGGGACCCGGTTTTGAAACCCGTGATTTACCGACCCGACAACCCGTTTGACTCTCGGTTCGAGATACAAAATTCGAGTACCATACCAAGGATGTACCATTCAACGGCGGTTTTACTCAGAGATGGTCGAGTTCTTGTTGGGGGTAGTAATCCGCATATATATTACAATTTCACTGGAGTTCTTTTTCCTACTGAGTTAAGCCTAGAGGCATTTTCACCGTCTTATTTGGATTCGATATCTGAGTACTTACGTCCACAAATCATCTCTCCTGCTTCACAATATGCATTCGGGTATGGGCAACGAATGCCCATACGATTTAAGGTTGCGGGGCGGGTAGACATAAATTTGGTCACGGTAACAATGGTTGCACCTGGATTTAACACACATTCATTTACGATGAATCAAAGATTATTGGTGTTAACAAGTGAAAATGTGAAATTAATTGGGGACAATGCCTATCAAATCAATGTGGTCACACCAAGTAATGCTAAATTAGCTCCACCTGGTTATTATCTTTTATTTGTGGTTCATCAAGATATACCAAGTGAAGGAATTTGGGTCAAAATTCAGTGAACATATTTTTATTTTTTATTTTTGTTTTGTTTCTTGCCTCCTACACACATATAAGAATTAAAAAGCAATTAAAATTTCTTTTATAGGTTATTATTTTTATATTTATGTTGGTTATAAACAATTTTTTTCTCTTTTTGGGAAAAGGAGTAATTGTAAGGATATTCATAGGTCTTGATTGTTTTGATTTAATGAAAAAATTGTTATACTTCTTGTCCTCATTGACTATTCTGATAATTATTATTTTATTTTAAGAAAAAGGAAAAATTGTATTAATTACAACTTTTAAGACAGAGGTGGATCGAACCGAAATGGATAGTATGGGATCGTTCGATTCATGTGATAAGGCGGGATATTCAAGATTAAATTATAATTTGTTTGAGTGAAGGTATATATCACTTTATCCCATTCAACTTGTTTTTATTTAATCTCACCCAGGATATATTAGTCTAAAAATTATAAAATATTCTAAAACTGTAATTTTGAAATAGTTTAATCCGCGAATTAAAGGTACTGCATTAAACCAAATGTGAGTATAGTGTGAATACTTAAATAGTTTGTCTTATTCTTTGTATTTTGACCTTTATCAAGATCTAATCAAAGTTAGATCTATTGCCTTTCCTCCACGGAGGTGATTTGTATTTGTAGATCTGTTGAAATTTCCTTTCATCATCTTTATTTCCTCTATTTTATATTATTTGTCACGTATTAAAAATAGTTATCTCATTTTATTTATCTAATTTATGAAACTAAGATAACTTTATTATGTTTTCTTCTTTCTCTTCTTAATATTAAATACCTATATAAAGTAATAGTAAACAAATTTAAAAGTTCTAAAGCATTATTAATAAAATATATATTTAATTAAAAAAATGTTAAAGAGTGTGTCAAGTTAATAAAGATCAAATAATATAAAATGAAACAAGTAATTTTTAGAGTGTACACTACTTAATTGCAGTCTAATGGATAAAGCGCTTATAAAGGTCTATTTGTGCCTTGTATATTACTTAACTAAGAAATTAAATCAAAGAAAATAGAATCTTTGATGTAATGTCTAAATATGTAAAGCTAATTTTTTCAAAAAATAAATTATTGTATTCATACGAAATATTAGTTAATTTCATCATTATATACTCCGAATTAAACCACATAAATTAAAAAAGAAAAAAAAGAAGGGAGGTTAGAACTAAAGGCTAGTTGAAGATGAAAGAGAGTCACGGGCAATATAAAGAAGAAGATAGATCACGGGCCAGAAAATGCAATAAACAAGTTGTCTTCACTTGCACATATATTTTGGAAGGTTTCTTTATTAGTCTTCACTACCATAACTCATTCGACTACTCGGAAAATTTTAGTAACTTAGTTAATTTGAATATACATGAGGCTACGCTCCGTAGATCAATAAAATTTACGCACCGTGTCTTGGGGTTTATGCCTCGCCCGTATTGCATAAAACGTCTCGTCTTACGCTCTGATCACTATATCAAAAATGATCATTAGTGGCAATTAATTCTTAATTGCCGCTAAATATGTATTTTTAGCAGTAATTAGTTGTCTTTGTATATGTCCATAAAGCCTTTAGCGACATTGGTTCTAATGGCACTTAACTAATGCCGGTAAAGACTTTAGCACTCTTTATTAATGTCAATATTTATTGCCGCTAAAAGTTGTTTTTGTTGTAGTGGGTCCAGTGTTTTAAAAGACTCTGTTGGGACTCGCCCCGGGGCGGGGCTTTAGCAAAATGCGCCGAGACTCAAGTGTGAGGTTTAGTTCTATAAGACTTACGCTCTAAGCGCCCGATTGTACGCCCTAAGCACGCCTAACGCCCAACACTCGGGGCTCGCCTAATAGATCTTACACAAATTATGTGTTAAAATCTTTAGTTAACATTGTTGACCCTCATAATTCTTGAATAAATGAATGATACTTACTGATTTTTTTAATCTTTAAAGATAAGAAGGATGAGAATAACTCAAATAACAAGTTGTAGTATCACATCTTTATTATTTGGTAACATTGTGAAGGTGATTATTTAGTACGTTAACATTTCTTTCAAAAATACATAACGAAATTTTACTTTTTCACTTATTATTGGTCTTCATGATTTTGTCATATGTCTCAAAGGAATGTTTTAAGCAAAGGAAAACAAAATTTTCATATAAGACTTATCAAATGAGAGGTGAAAGGATGTTGCTATTCTTATTGATATTGATCAATGTGGACTAGGAACATTGATCCTTCACGTCCTCCCCGATCTTGTTTTCATGCTCCTACTCAACAACAATAACATATTCAGAGTAATTTTACAGGTAGATTTTTGAGAACTGAATAAAATATATATAGACTTTATATATACCTCGAAGGTATCAGGGTAGATATATTGTTTCAGAATTATTATTTTTTGGCTCAAGCGCGACAAATCAAAATATATATACAAAAATGATATCCAACTATTCCATTAATTGGGCTTCCTTGGGTGCTAGGCCCAATATTGAACTATATTTTCATGTGTTCTAATCTATATTTTGGGCTTTACATTTTTAGCTACCAAGGAAATACATTTGGGTTTGGTCAATCAAATGACAAAATTTCGAGTTAAGTTAAAGGGAATAATTAATTTGATTTCGAATCATGACAAAGGGATATCGTGATTCGACTGCGACCCTAAATTAAAGTTATTAATTAATGGTCTCGATTATTATTATGTTTTAAATAATCTTAAAACAACGTTGTTAATAGTTGAAAAACCCTAGCGATCAACTTAAGTCCAAGGTTGATAAAAGAGTACGGCTATTTAAACACAAATTTCAGAGTTAATTCTAGACTAATCCAATAATTGGGAAATTAATTCATTACATATCATTTAATCCTGCAATTTTTACTAATCATATTTTTATTACGTACTTTTATTTATGTGTTTTAAATTCTTTCATCCATTATTTAAAAATATAAAAACAATTAAGAATTTGTTCAACTTGATAATTTAAGAATCATCAAGATCAAAACTATGTTATTCTTCGTGGAATCGACCTTAACCTCATAAGTCGAATTATATCAAACAACACAACAACTCATTGATGGATTATCCACAAATTGCCTAGCAAGTTGAATAGTTGATTGTCACTTGGCTACATTGATTGCCCTATTGGCATGGACGGTGCACATATACCGGTCCTAAAATAGATTAAATGTGGCGAAATACATCAACAATCCTTTAAATTTAATTTCTCACATATTTTAATTGTGCTTCTGAACATATGATATAGTGTGTTTTCAAATTTTAAAAGAGTTTTTTTGTGTGTATCATCAAGCGCCTATTACGTAGATAAGTTAACTATTTAAAATATGTCAGAGCTAGCTATATATACACACCAGTAAATGAACCGGATATTTAAAATTAAGGACGAGTTTTTTTGTTCTCAAGCATTCACGTAGCTCTCGGTCCAAATTAACGATAAATCAGTCTCGTAGTATAATAGTATTGTATTATTAGTGAAACAGAGAGAATTTTAAAATTATTTCTAATAGTATAAGTGTATATAGTTTATGTTTAAAAAATATAAATCCCTACAAAATGTTTTATCAAAAAAATGTCTAAATTACAAGTTTCAAGTTATCGATGTGTAGACATGTAAAAAAGTTATTGAGTTTGATTCGTACAAAATTTGAATTAAATTTTAAAATATTTGAGCCAGACAATTAATTATAAATTAAATTAGTTTATTATATTATTTTCGAGCCGGATAATTACCGCATCTAAAGCTCCAAGTTCATGCCACAAAGGAATATTGACATATAAAATTCTTAGATAACATTGACATATTTTAAGTTAATTATTTATTTAGCAAATTAAATCTTATAAAAATTAGCACATTGTTGGAAAAAATGACCATTGTGTTCTTCGAGAATACAAGTGCAATCGTTAACTTCGAAAAATTATATATATATACTTTGAGATATTATTATATATATTTTATTAGGTATTCAAAGACACAAATTATTTGGGTGCCTGTTTTAAATGATGCATAGATAGTTTGAATTTGAAACCTCATGATGCAAAGTGAAGTTCAAAACCGTCACTTCACAAAAGAAACTTTATCTAGTAAAATCATTTAATTCATATTTATACAGTTGTACATTAGTTATATATTTTATGTTCAATAAAATTATCATACGAATCGACATTGGGTGGTATGCTTTAACTAATGTGCATTAGCCATTGGTGGTATATCTTTCGTCTTCAAATTTCGGGTTGGACTTCGGAAACAACCTTTCTATAAAGTAAAAGTAAGGTCGGCATACACTCTATCCTTTTCAAACTTACTTGTGATATTATATTGAACATGTTGTTAATATATATATTATTATTGTACTACTTTACCTGCACATCAACTAATTTCACAATATATGTACCACCTCCCATCAACATGTACAAGATAACTCTATTCATCAAGACTAATAATTTTCACGTTTAAAAGTTGATAATTCTATATTTAAAATTTACACTAAACATTAGTTAGTTCGATCCTCGTACTCCCAATCACACTAAACAAATTGAAATAAAGTATTGTACTCATGTACTATTCTTCTGTTTCAATTTATAAGACACACTTTCATTTTTAGTCATTTGCTTAATAAGATGAAATACAACCATACAACCATATATAACTTATTTGATATCATAAATTTCAAAATTATTTATTTTTTTCTTAAACTTCACACCTAATTAAAATACATCATATAATTGAAACGAAAAAACACTAAATTAAGTGACAAATGCATACATGCAAGTAATTATTTTTTAAATAAAATATTTAAGAAAAAATAGAAAAGGAATACAGGCTGACCATTTTTTTATTTTTTATCCAGTGATATAACAGTGAGTGAACAGTTCATAATTTAATTTTTTTAATTAAAAAATAAATAAAAAGGGGGCACAGAAAAAAAAATTAAAAAAATCAGAGGAATTAGGGTTCTTATATAGGGTTGCCTTTTGATCTCTA